CTTATTGATGCTAGAAAAAACTCAAATTATCAAAATCATTGCAAAGTATTTGTATGGTTCCACAAATGTGCTCTTTAACTTTAAAATATCTGATTTCAAAAAACAAAAATTCATGGGCTGTTGTTCAGTGGCTGTACTCATGGCTACACCACTACATTGTTATGAACATTTTAGTACTTATTTCATGTCAAACATCTAAAAATACGAATAGTAATCAACAAAACGTGTTGTTGTAATTTGAGAAGGCATTTTTTTTAAAGTATAAGCAAAGAACTTAAAATTAATTATTCGAGTGTTCTTTCTTCTAATTCATTAAAGCAACATATACTACTTTCTAATTACAATTTTTTGATGACATTGAATATACTAATGTTGACTTTTATTCTATTAGTAATCATATAATAATTCATGTACAAAAAATAGCAGAAAAATGATAAGAGTTGATAGATACTCTTGTTTATCCAAATCGACTTGATATCCTGACTTCCTGTTGATCTAATTCGGTAATGATACAACAGGTAAATAGTCTAGTATCTGAATTTTTTCCGATTGTTGTCAGCAACATGAGAACAGTAATAATCTCATTTACAGTATCTTAAAACGAGTGAGAAAGATCGTGATAATTTATTCGTTTTTAATGTCCAAATTGATATTAGTTTATCGTTTCTTTTTTCAGTTAAAAAAAACGAAAACTGATATAAATACATGAGAAGATACCTAGAGGGCTGCTTATTATAAATGACATAGTTTTTGATTTGGCACATCATATCTCAAAAAGTTTAGATGATTTTTGTCATTTTCTGTTTTTTCTGTTTCATGAATTTTGAGTCTTCGTTCTACAGATTTAATTTCGTTTGAAAGTGTATGTTAAAATGTACCGCATAACCCAGTTCTTTTCTTGAATTAAACATTGTCTGTAGTATATTATAAAACAGTACTTCTACAGTTAGAGTGCCATATTTTTGTGAGCTTCTCTAACTACTCAATTTTATACTGTTCACACCCACAGCCACACCTGAATATCTCGTACATCAATATGTTAGTTATCTTAGTTTCAGTGTGACAAATAAGGAGAAGATCAAACTTTTTCGTTTATTAATTTTTCTCTTATGTTAAATCTATCACTTTTCCACTTTTATAGTATTCATAATAGTGATAAATTTTTCATAAAAAAACGTATAAAAACGCAGAAGATCTGATATGAAAGGTGTGACTGTTAGGTAGTGTCCTGCGGGAACGACTTTTTTCCCTAATTTTCCCATTCCCATTCCCATTCCCATGGGAATGGGAATTCCCATTTAGACTTAGGGAATGGGAACATGGGAATGGGAATTCTCATTTAGACTTAGGGAATGGGAACATGGGAATGGGAACAGAATTAAAAATTGACGTTCCTAAAATTCTTTCTATCTTTTTTCAATACACATAAAAATATTTCTATCTGATAACTGTTTATTTTCAATAGCTTTTCTTATTCATATACAATTAACAGAAAAATAACAAATGTGTATCAGCAAAAAATAGACTGCTTATTGGTTCTTAACCACATCGTAATTTTATCATCACAAATATTGGCATTGGTTAAGCAGGTGTTCCTTCGTGTATGCACTATACATGCAAGCTGGTGTTCCTTTTCATTAAAAAAGTGTTCCATCGTCTAATAAGAAAATGTATAGTCAACATAGTGTTCATCATATAGGGAGAATATTCCTCTTACGGTAAATTGTTTCCCTCCCTTCTCCCAAATAGAAAATAAAAAAAATTATAAATAAATATTAAGGTTATTTACAACAAAAAACAAATGATTTATCAATAATAATCTCAATATTTATTTATAACTTTTTTAATTTTCTATTTGGGTGAGGGGAGGGGAACACTTTACTATAAGAGGAACATTCTATATGATGAACACTAGGTTGACTATACATTTTCTAATTAGACGGTGGAACACTTTTTTAATGAAAAGGGACACCAGCTTGAATGTATATGTATAGTGCATATACGAAGGAACACCTGCTTAACCAATGCCAACAAGAGCAACAAAACAGGAAAAGAAAAGAAGTGAAGCACTATGTAACAACGTCGCGATGCGCAAAACGTGATGTCTCGAGAAACTGGTATACATATATGCCAATGACACTTTCGCATAGATGAATAGAGCCTTGGAAAACCTTATGGGAATTATGGGAATGGGAACGTGGGAATGGGAACAAAAAAAAATTTTTAGGGAATGGGAAAAAGGGAATGGGAAAAAGGGAATGGGAACAAAAGAAAATTTTTAGGGAATGGGAAAAAGGGAATGGGAACAAAAATTTTTTTTTTAGGGAATGGGAATAGGGAATGGGAATCAGAAAAGTCGTTCCCGCAGGACACTACTTTAAACACACACTTATCCATACTGACACTTACTCTCGTTGATGCATACTTCTGGATGGAAAGAAAGTAAAAGAAAAAACGAGAGCCACAAGGAACTTCATCAATGGTGTGATTCGCATTACATTAATTAACTAAAAACAGAGTTTATTCACTGCTGAACAAATATACGTATGTCTATGATGATAAGAACGTCGGGGTACCAAGATTTGAATGAGCATCAAAATTACATCTCCGCATTTTCTCTTCATCAGTGAGTAATTGGCTCAATTCATCGACATGCAATTTGAATAATACTTGTAATTCTTCTGGTCAAAGGCATATTAAGTAATTTAAAGAACGAATTTTTCCATAACGGTTGACTGAAGAAGTGTCATATAGACTATCTATAGCAGAACTAAAGTTTTGCTGAATATTACGTAGTACATACATAGAGCTTCGTCATATCTTGGTCTACTACGTAATTCAGTTGTTTCTAATTTCTTTAAAAGATCCTTAAGTGAATGATGTGGATAATCTTCTATATTTAAAGACTCATAGCGGTTTGCAATTGTACTAACTATATCATCTAGCCTTTTCTTTAGATCTTTACTTTTCTCAGTAACAGAATAAGACGTGCAAATTCTTGCTAATTCGCATGCCATACAACTGAGATTATCCATGCTTTGTTCAGCTTGACAAAAACTATCAGCACTAGGGGTGGTACATTAGCATTAGTATTAGCATTAAATTAATGCTAACACCAATATTCTTGTTTTCCGTTTCTAAGAAAAAGTATTTGAATTTGTATTGATTAATGTAAGGTTAGACTCAGCCAGCAGTCCTGATTAATTCTAATACTTGTATGTTACAATTTTAATATAAAAGTATTGTAGCTGATATAAATTAACACTATTATAAGCATTAACTTATTATTAGTTACAATGTTTTTGTATTAAAATTGTAACACAAAAGTAATGGAATTAATCAGGGCTGTTGACTGCGTCTAACCTTACATTAATCAGTACAAATTCAAATACTTTTTCTTAGGAACGGAAAACAAGAATATTGATGTTAGCATTAATTTAATGCTAATACTAATGCTAATGCACCACCCCTAATCAGCACTGATACATAGGGGTGAGAAGTTATTGTTATTCGGTTGTTATTAATAACAATAACAAAAAGATAACAAATAACTTTTTTTTTCTGAAAAACTTTCAATTCGAATTGCTGCCTATCTCAACTATACTAATTCTATTGGTCTATGTCTAAGGAATGAATTTGCTACGGTTATGATAATAACTGATCTCGAAATTTCAGAATTCGCACAGATCGTATAGAGGGTGGGCCAAAAGTAACAAAATAAAAAGTTGTTTTCGGTTTTTTTTTCTTTAAATATCGACAGGGTACATTTCATATGTACACTACATATACTAGAGAATACTGGTCAGAACAAAGTTATAATCGGTCCGGTCGGACCGAACAGGTTGAAGCGATTGGACCGACCGGTTTTCACCGGTTTTTACCGATTAAAATATATTTTATGAATGTACAGATTTTTCAGATAAAACTTGTTAATAGCAAGTTTTTATGCCCTTATCAAAATAACCAACTTATTTTATTTCAAAAACTATACAGTTTTTTCTTGTGTATCTCAATCTATTTCATGTTATTAATCGAAATACGCTTTATTTTTTAAAAAGTGCATTCAAAACTATAGTAGTTCAGTTAAACTTATCTCATAGATTTTTTGTGAAGATAAAATTTAGGTTCGAGCCATCGTTGAGAGAGAAGCGTTACGTTATTTGTAAAGGTTAAGTGAATAAAATCCCAAATCTGGAATGTGTCAATCAGTTGATCTGTAAATGGCACTTGTTTCAAGCTATATATAAATATCTCAGGTATTTATCTTTGAGAAATCAAACAGATATGAAGAACTAGAACATGGTATTCGTTCATGATGATCTGTGAGAACCGGAAGGAAAAAGGTAAATGACTGTTTCTGAAATCATCCCTATTAGTAAATGAGTAGTGTCACAGATGCAAAAAACCGGGGATCTTAGAGATCTTCCCGGAGATCTCCAATATACTAACGACACTTGACTATAATACTGATGCCTCACATCCTAATCGTATTTTTCTTCCTATCAGAAACCTCTCAGGAGACCCGACATCTCTAAAAGAGATACCGTATCTCTCATCATGTCTCTGTAAGAGATGCCACATCTTCCACACCCACACTCACACCCAGAGATGTAAATCCTAGAGATGCGGCGTCTCTACGATGGAGATCTCCTGATTAAAAAAAAAATTCTCATCAGGAGATCTCCATCGTAGAGATCCCGCATCTCTTACAGAGATCTGATTAGAGATACAGCATCTCTTACAGAGATGTGATGAGAGGTAGTATTTCTTGTAGAGAGAAAGGCTAGTATCGGATATGAGTAATGTATCAGTAGGGTGGAAATATTGTTATATTGGAGATCTCCGTGAAGATCTCTAAGATTCCTGATTTCTTGGATCTGTGACACTGCTGACGAATTGAGAACAAAGCTCACTGCAATATGTGTTACAGAAAAGATAAGACTGATAAATACGAAAAAGAACTAGAATCAGTTTATTTTCGAGTAAATTGGTTAAACTTATTAATCGGATGTTTCCATTAAAACCTAAGAGCAAATTTTTGTTTTTTATTTTCTATCAATTTTCAAGCAAAAAAGATCAATTTAATCAACAAATTCAGAGAAATCAATATTACCGGGAAAATCGAAAACATCATCGTTTTGTAGTTATCATGATGAAACTTTAACCTCTAAACGTGTGAAACGTGTTTTTTTTTGAATTAACTTCTAGTTATACGTTTAAATTATAACAAAATGCTTTAAAAAAGGCCCAAAACGCTCAAGACTAGACCTTTTTCGAATGAGTGATATTTTTATTTTTTTATTACATTGATTATTTTCCTTTAAAATTGTTAAAAATGTTTCAAAAAATCAGTTGTTTCCTCCTAGGTATAAATCTATAAGCATTTAGAAAGTTCGCCCCTAATATCACTTTTATCGTATGAACAATCTTCATAAACTCACTGGTTTTTACCGGCCTGGAAGTATTTTTTAGACCAGCCGATCACCAGTCGGACTAGACCGCTCTAAAATTTCTAGACCGGTTAGAACTTTGAGTCAGAGATGTGTCATATGATCAACTTCTAAGCATAGCAACTGGTCCCAGACACATATATGTATAAATTGCTCGTATGTGACTACATGAAAAATTTCATCTTTGTTGTGTTACGTGCAATTTTCAATATTCTTGCCTGTTTATCCCATTTTGAAATACAAATTCGATCCAATTGAATTTCGTATTCTTTTGGCCTAAAGGAGTTCAAAATGTGATCAAATCGAATTTGTATGCCAGATTGGGATGAACAGGCAAGAATATGAAAATCCTATGTAACACAACAAAGATGAAATTTTTCATGTAGTCACATACGAGCAATTTATACATATATGTGTCTGGGACCAGTTGCTATACTTAGACGCTGATCACATGACATATCTCTGACTAGTATCCTGTAGTATATGTAGTATAAATAAGAGATGCAACTGTTGATATACAAAGAAAAAAAATCCGAAAAAACTTTGTATCCTGTTACTTTTGGTCTACCCTGTATATGATCTATGCGAATTCTGAAATTTTGAGATCGGTTATTATCATAGCCGTAGCAAATGCATTCCTTAAACATAAACCAATAGAATTAGTATAGTTGTGATAGGTGGCAATTCGAGTTGAAAGTTTTTCAAAAAAAAAAGTTATTTGTTATTTTTTTTGTTATTAATAACAATAACAATAAATTCACACTCCTACTGATACAAATTTCGATAGAACGAAGTTCTCTTAAGAAAACCTTAGACAAAATTTCACTTATGTCATTATTAAAGCTTCGAAGAGTACTTTAAGTTTCATCGTCAAATAACACCATGACAGTATGTTTACTTAAAGCAGTTCGAATTTTTCCAACATTTTCCTGAATTTCTCTTATTTGAACTGTATGATTCTGTTCTTTTTCAATGGTTCCATCGAGCCAAATTGCCATACTTTTAGTATCTTGTATCAGAGGTTTTGAAAGAACTTTCTAAATAGTATTTAATCTGCGCTACATCTCTGGAGCTGAAACAGTTTTCATTCATGTTATCTAACAGTATATCTACACATCCATAGTTTCCCTGATATATGTAGTTTAGCACAAGTTCATAAGTTGCTCTTGCGTCCTTGATTACATCTAATCGACACTGTGTGTATAAGGACGTAAAATCATGATTTGCAAAAATAACTTCTCAGAAACGATCCAAACAACTTAATACTTATGCTGTAGCCATTTGAGTTCTTAGGTCTTTCTTTTGACCAGAAATTTTTAATTGTTCTAAGGATGTGGGTGTGTGGGTGTGAGTGTGTGTGGGTATGTGTGGACGAAGAGAAGAGCAAGAACCACACCCACACCCACACCCTTGTTCACGACAATCAAGGTGTTGATGTGGATGTGGGTCTCTCTTAACCCCCACACACACCCACACCATACTGTCATGCTCAGCACTGTTAAATGATAGTCTTGCTGATGCTAGAAGATTCATAACTTGAAACTTCAAACACTGTAGAAAAGGATGTGGGTGGGTGTGGGTGTGGGTGTGGGTGTGGGTGTGGGTGTGGGTGTGGGCGCGGGTGTGGGTGTGGAGTGTGGGTGGAGGGTGAGAGTGTGGATGTGGGTCTTCTCTTATCCAACACCCACACCCACATCCACACCCACATCCACACCCACACCGACACACCCACACCCTACAATAGGTGCAGCCCACTTTGAAACAGTAATTGGTTCTAAAACACCTTCAGTAACAAGTCGATTTAAATCATTTTCAACAGCTTGACTATAAGCAAATGGTAAAGATCTAGGTTTGCAAAATTTTGGAATAACATTTGGTTTAATATGAAGATGAGGTTTCATTTTACAACAACCTAAACCATCTTTAAATATATCATCATAACGAATAAGTAAATCATTTAAATTTTTAAATTCAGAATTAATATTTTGTATTGATGAATCGGAAACAATAGCATCTAATGTTTTATTACTAAGATGTAAGACGTTAATCCAATTACGACCAAGAATATTGTTTCAATTATTATCACAAATAACAAGTGGTAATTGAGCACATCGATCATTATAGTTGACCTTGACCATTTTCTCCCCTTTAAAAGGAATAGGATGACCTGCAAAACTATTATAAGTTAATTTAACTAGATATAATTTTGGTTTTTCCATTAATTTCCAAACATATTCATTGATAATCGTAATAGGAGAACCAGTATCAAGTTCAAAATTAACTTTTACACCATCAGTTTGAATAGGAATTTGTATTGGATGATCACCTATAATATGTTCATTTAATATAGAAAAAATAGTATTTACCTTGAATTGGTTTGAAGTTGCTTTTGAATGACAAACTTTAACAGTATGGCCTTTTTTGTTACACTTGTGGCAGATAACATTACGAAAACGACATTTAGATTGAGGATGATCTTTTGAACCAAAACTTAAACAAGTTGATTTTTGAGGAACATTTGAAATTTGTTTGTGATGTTTTTTAATTTTCATGAGGAAAAATTCATCTGATGAACTACCTTTGGCATTAGCGCCTTGAATAAGAACTGATTCAAATATTCATACTGTATTAAGCGTTTGTTCAAATGTTTCCAAATTTTGCTGCATCAAATGTTTTCGAGCCTGTTCATTTTTTAAACCACCAAAGAATGCTGTAATTAAAGAATCTTCATAAAAATTGTTCGGAAAATTACATGTTACGGATTTATGTCGAAGAGAATTTGCAAAATCAGTAAGAGATTGTGAAGATTCTTGACATGTTGCAAAGAATTTAATTCGTTCAGTTGACGCAAATGTAACACGTGCATAATTTGTACGAAGTTTTTGGATTATTTCCGAATTAGAACATTCAGTAGGTTTCTTAGGTTTACAAACAGAAATAAGTGTTTTGAAGGGTTGAACACAAAGAGCTGTAATAAGCAAGTTTCGTTTCTTGTTATCATCCGTAACACCTTCGACAGCAATATACGTGTCGAAAAGAACTTCCAAATCATCCCAATCGTAAGATGTTGGATCAAATTCATGTAAACGATATGTATTTGAACGTCTAGGTTGTTCAACAGTAGTACTTTCGAAAGGCATTCTAGTGTTTTTCTTTTTTTATTATTAAAAAAAAATTTCAACTTAAAAAAAAATTTTATCTCACTCTCGTCGCCAATTGTCACGTATTGATGTGAATACGTCAAAGCAAAGTTTATTAGGAAAAACAAAAGTATATATATTTAACATAATAGACAACGATATTGCGTTGTAGATATCATTATTACGTAATAGAGAACAAGATCAAGGTTAAATATAATGTTTGTTTGACCTTGATCAACGATAACGAATATAAGTTGAGATCAAGAGATGATCCAAGAAAAGATGAAAGAACGAAAGGAAAACAACACACACGTACATCTATACGTTTTGTGTATTGCCATGACAGAACGAAAAGAAATAGGAAAAGCAACAGAAACGAAAAAAACAAACAATAGTTCATGTCAATATATTACAATTATTATTTAATTCAATGAATTGAATGACTTTACATAAACAATCATTGATATTTGTACTTCAAAAAAATCGTTTTTTTTCAGAGAAAAATTCGATCAAGGTATACGTGTGAGTGTGGAGTATCGGTGTCGTCAAAGGAAATGAGAACACGCACACGCACCAGAGGTGCAGAATCTTCCAAAAATCCAAAAATTTCCCCCCACGCAAAAAAGTTTTTTGAAAAATTTCCCCACTGTATTTTTTTTTGGCCAGCGGGTTTTTCCAAAATTTCCCTATTATTTGAGTTTTTCAAAAAATTTCCCTCCCCGCGCGGGGGCGCATGAGGAAGATTCTGCACCTCTGACACGCACACACACACACACCCAGAGATGGAACCGGTACCGGTCTGACCGGTCTAAACCGTTCTACCCGGTCAAAGCCAACTTTTGCCAGTCTATATCTTGTATTTTCCTGCTTTGTGATACTATCTACATAAGAAAAATGGACAGCTGACATCAAGGCTAATTCTTTTGACCATACAGGAGTTGTTTTAACAAACAGTTTCTAGAGTGTCGTTCAATGAAATTCTTGTTATCAACAATGAAGCGTTAAGTCAGTATGAGTGAAGGTACGGAGGCAATCCTTAAGAGACACGATGGAAAAAGGTTACATTTTAATCCTCGACCTATCGTATTTAGTTCGGTATTTTATCGGTAGACGGGATCTTTCTGATTAACTAATGCATCGTAAGTATTTGGTATACTATCGGTAGACAAGTCAGATCAATTTTTACCGGTAGGTCGGTGTTAATCGCTAGACTGGGTTTTGACAGTAGATTAGTTTTTACCGGTATACCGACCGGTTCGATCCGGTCTAATTCTTTTAGATCGGTTCCATCTCTGCCCACATCCCGTCCACACCCAAACCCGCTCTTTCCTAGCCGAGCTATGAAGATCAATTAATGACAAGTCAATTATTCTGAAAGAATTAGGACTTCATATGCTCTATTAATATTAATAAAATAAGAAAGCAAGATTGAGAAAGATCAATAGACCACGAATGTTTAACGAGATTGGCGTTGCAATGGACGACTGTGTTGTCGTGGACGAAAGGGTTGCCATCGACGACTGTGTAGTTGTGGGCGACGGTGTTAGTGTGGACGATGGTGTTGGTGTGGACGAAAGAGTTGTTGTCGACGACTGTGTTGTTGTGGACGACGGCGTTAGTGTGGACGAAAGGGTTGTCGTCGACGACTGTGCTGTTGTGGGCGGACCAATTAAATTGAAGGTTGGTGTCTCGTATATGTCATAATCTTCGGCATTCTTCTCATTTCCAAAGTGTTTGAGAGCCGAAAATCGAAGTCTATATTGACCATTAGGAAGACGAATAGTTTCAAACCGTGACGAGTTTCCATTGAAAATAACTTTACTAACCAGACCAAACCAAGTGATTTCATACGATTGTAAATACGATCGAAAGGATACTGCTGTATTTCTCACTAGATTTGTGAAATATGCTGGTGCTTCTGCAGCGTGATTGTATACATAACCGTAACTACAAAGAAAACAGATATTATTTCCTAGTCACGATTAGTAAATCACGACTGCCTGATTTTGAGAATCTTCATTGCCAACTAAATACATATGTATTTAAAATGCTCTGAGGCTCAAGGAGAACTATTAAATGGAAGACGACTGCAGTTATTTTCTTTGCACTAAATTTCAGAAGAAGTCGCCTCAATGTTCAATGTCGAATTGAATTCAATTTTGAAATGTCTTTTCATATTCATCGAAATGTATCAAGCAAATTCCTTGGTTATTGTTGAATTAAACTTGTGAAATTTCGATTTCTATTTATTTTATCTTTACGGGAGCTCATTTACTTAAAACCTGAAAGTGCAATGTAAAACAAAAATAGTGAGACAGTCATCAGTTTGTTCCTTCTTCTTCGAAGTGATTAGTAACTACACGCTTAATATATTCTTCGCACTACGATGCCAAGACATGATAGTACTAGTTTTTGATAAAGACGTTCAATAGAGAATCCTTTTAAATAGTGGCTCCATGCATTCATCACAATTACGGGTAAATCTCGTTAATAGTTTAGAGAAGGTACTTGACGAATAAATAGTAGTTCGTCTAGGTGAAATTAGATAAGAAATAGTATTTTCTTAAAAGGTGAATAAAGATTTCTCTCCTACTGTTACTCACAAATTCCATCACTGCTTTCTTTCAATCTTGCGAGGAAGGATTCACATATCATCATCGCAAATTTTCATGTAACATAATTTTTCATGAACCTGTTTCGAGCCTAAGCACTTTTTCAAGGGTTATACAAAAATCGTTCAGCCAAGTAGTAACTAAAAATTTTGCGTGATACCTTTCGATGAACACGAAAAGACATTTTAGAAATGGATTCAATTCAATATCGAGTATTGAAGCGGCCCCTTTTAACATTTAATGAAGAGAGAAAAGATGAAGTCGTTTTTCGTTCAATAGTTTTCTCTGATTCTCAGGTTTTTCCGACACTATATAGATTACGTTTGTGAGGGTATCTCGGTGAAATAGATCGAGTATTAACAGGAGAAGGTTGAGCCTTTTGCGAAACAATATCTGAAAGGAGTTTTGAAGTATATAAGGTAGAGAATATAATCTAGTGTCGAGCCGCTCCTCCTCCTGTCTCTACACATACATGTCATGATAGATAGCTTTCAATGATCCACACAGATCGTGACAGACGATTTACGAGAAAACCCCATAGACCATGACAGATGATCTTTAGAGGTCATTAGTAACCGTGATAGATGCTTTGTAGAAAACAGTGTTATCATGTTTTGCATTTTCAATCCTGCAGGAATTGCGCTAACATATGTTAAACTGTTCTACATAATTTAATCTTACTGCATTCCAACATGAGCGGAGGCTCACAAAAAACTAGGCAAAATTAGTTTCTTTCCTATATATTCTGACGGCTTTGAGTTGATAATCAAGTAGCAGTAACAAAGCATGAGATGCGATAAGGTCGCATCTTGTTTGCGGACAAGATGAGATGAAATCGTGTTTTACCTCGTTGCTAAGCTAGGTAGAACTTGGTTTTCGCCCGAGACAGCCTCTACGAAAACAAGGCGTGACGCCCATGCTGTGACCAATATGACCCGGGTTCCATTTGATGAGTTCAGATTCACCTGTTGTGTATTTGAAATATAGGTGTTATTTGAATTCAGAATGCCAGTGACGACACGTGACGAGCTATTTCGCACAATAATGCGTGCGTTCTTGTAGTCTCCAACAACACCAGCATCTACAGAGAGATACATTTGCGTATAATACCACGGTTAAAGAAAACTATTAGTTACGGATACTCACATGGAATATGTGCAACTTGCTCATTCACATTATTTGTAACATAGATAAAGCCCGAGAAGATGGGAAGAAGAGCCGGGTCGGCATTGGAAGGTGGTTGAAATCGAAGAGTAATCGTACCTGATTTTTCAGGATCAAGTTCAATGGTGGTTGGCTGGATATCGACAATCTTTTCATGTTAAGAAAGATAACATATGTTTACTACATGAAATACAGGGGATTCAATTCTAATGAAATGATCTCTGATAACTTTCTCTTACAACTATAGTCTCTAAATACAAAGTGCCACATAGAACTGAAAAGAGATTCATGAAATGGTACCGGAGAATGGTTCTGTTTGGCACTTTTTTAATAGAGAATATGACTTGGATGTTCATCACCGTTTCGAGTTGGCACTTTTTTTTTCGTGCATTTAAATTCTAGTATAATTTGATTAGTCCATAAGCTCTTTTCTAAAGAAATGGATATGAACGACTGAAATTTATACAGTAAAAATTCCAAAGATCTGATATGCGCTGGGTTGGGACGAGCGAGTCAAAAACAGTAAAAATGGATTGAAACCGATGTTCACGCTAACAGTGGAAACCATAAAAACACTGTCAGGAGATAAGTTGATATAAAAGACCATATTACTAGAGTTTGATTCGTTATTTTTTTTCTTTATCTTTTTTATCTTATTTATGACCCATATATAGGAAGGGTCGGGTTTTTCGAATCCTTCTGCATTTGCTGTCACAACGCATGACATGCAAATGGTGTCTTTAAATGTGAGTAGCAGAAAAGAGGAATCATGGTCACGGCCATAATAAAAAATCATCTTTAGTCTCCTAGATTAAGCCTATTTGTAGACCTCAGACATCAACAATTTCGAAGAAAACACCGTCCAAAAATAGTATGACATATTCGAAGTCAGGGTATCCCAAAGGAATTAGGCGTGAGCAGGCAAACCAGTTTTAGTCGATGGGAGATAGATCAAAGTTTTGGATAATTGTTGACCAAACAAAATGGAAATCCGCTGATGAAAAGCGAAAATTTTCCAAGACTGAGGGTCACTTCATGGTCGCTAATTGCGACGTCCATGCTTGAACTACATACAAGCAAGTTTTCACTGCATTCGGATTTTACTCAGTTTCTTATTTGAACAAGCTGCAGCGTCAACAAGACCCTATTAACTGACTCTCGAAACAAATCTTTCTACGTGATGTTAATTCATCACACAGAGCTCACAGCATAGTCGGCTGAATAGATCGGTTGGCCCATAAGCTGGTCACTTCCTTTCTGTAACCCAGTAGCTAATGCAGCTCCGAAATGGCTGATATTGTATATGGCTGTTTCGTTGCCCAAATTGAATATTTCAATAGTGTATGATGGAGCTTGTCTCACGGTGTCATTCAATGCGAGTTGACTGGGTGAAATTAAAGTCGTGGCCTGAATGGTTTGAAAAGCATTGACCAGTCCGGCACCTTGTTGGACAGCAGAGGCAAGAAGAGATGTGTTGTAAATTTTCACTGGCATGGCATTTGATTGGAATAAATTGACGACTTTTGCGAACGACGGACGACAATTTGTCTGACATCCATCACTCACTGTTTCTGGGCCAGGATTACCAATATGTGCAAGATAGAGTGCCAAAGTTCTTTAAAAAAAACAACAAAGAGAATGAATTTCGAAGTAATTGAACATCTCTACAGGATGTTCCCTAAGTGCTTTATGATAGTTAATGTAGATTTCTCTTGTGCAACTCAGTTGATTTAATTGATTCTTTTAATAGTATGTTAATACAGAGTGATAATTTTTGCCGGTACTGTAGGCACTCGCCAGAAATAAAACTTAATTTTCATATTTGAGTCTGCAAGAGGCTTGATGTTTGAACATGTTTATTTTTTGAAAGGTATGGATAAAGATCCGAAAGAGTTTGTTACTTGCTACTTTCACAATTTTCTAGAAAGTGAGAAGTAGTAAGTAATTATCTTTTGGAATATTGTAGTGGTTAAAAGATATGACTGTACACTCGATGTGTTGGAAAATGATCATAAAATGTGCCTGACTATTGTCAACGGTCTGTGTTGGTGTCTTAACTCAGATAAGCCGAGACAAGTCCAAAATTAGCTTAAAAATTGAACGTCTAACCTTGGCTTGATGTAACTGAATCTCAGATTGATCTGGACGAATTTGACATCTGACGGATTAAACTATGTACGCCAGTATATACTTACCCTGCAACATACGGTGTTGCCATACTTGTACCCGATAGGGTAGCATAAGCATCCGAAGTGTTTCGTTTATCGGCTGCAAATGATGAAATAGTCGAGTAAACATAGCCACCAATGCCACTAATTTCGGGTTTGAACAGCAAGTCGCCAGTGAGACCAAATGATGTGAAACTTGAAGGTGTTCCTCCTGTTGACTGCACATCGATTGAAAATAGAATACATTTTTCCGTTAATTTTTTCAAAGAAGAAAATCACAGTATGAAGAAGCATTGAAAACTGTGGGAAAATATGCATGGGGTAGGCTTACCTATATCATCTTAAAACTGACATAAAACAAAGTGATTTATATAATGTGAATCATTAGATTGATAGAAATATTCCCTTGGGTTCTCTGCGCATAGAGACTCATGGCAATAATTATTTTGGAAAATGCCGAACAAATTGGAAATATGTTGAAGACGTAAAGAATGATAACTTTATAAGTAGGTACTTTCTGTCAAATGCCAAATGGAAACTTTGGCTAATAGGAATTAAAGTTATCTATTTAAACCATCTTTACCAGTAGCTTTTAGCAAGTACCTGTGCCAAAAGGGTAAATAACGGACTCCTGAAATCCTGAAATTCTATGAATTCATATGAAATGCCACGAAATTCATTAAAATTCTATGAAATTTGAAATTCAGGATTTCCTTTGATTCCAGAGTTCTGTAAAATTCCATTGAATTCCACGATTCTAGGATATCACTATTCACAGCTTATAGTCTGACTTTGAAAGCATGTTGTCACCTTCAGTCATTACCTCAATGAGCTTTTTCGGGAATGATAAAAATTCAATTTACTCACAAGGGTAGCAAGTCCTTGTGAATCCGTGAACGTAAATATAGCTGACATATTGCTTTTCACAATTGCGATAATCTTCAAACCATCGGTCATACTAATGCTTCCACTCGGAATAGTGGACGAACCTGAAAAATGACTTTAATTTGAGAGTAAACGTTGATGAAGAAAAAAAACCTGCGATTGCACCGACATTGTATATGAGACAGCCCGTTGCTCCAGCTTGCGCCGCTAAATTACATCGAACAGCGGAACCGCACTCGCCAGCGTTGTTAAAAGCATATAAAACTACTGCACCCGTTACATTTTGAATTGGACCGGCGCAACCATCATTCGGCGCACCTAGTGGATCTGATTATTTTTGAAAAATTTATAATGCATATTCAACTGAAAAAAAAGCTCACTATTGACAACGATCTTCGATTGTACATTTGATTTCCATCCACCAAAAGCAGAACCGGCTAAGTAGAAAATTCTCTCATTATTGGGGGTAATTATATAGAATTGGGCCGCATGTAGATTGTCTACTGAAGCGACGGCCATTGCGCCTGAAGAAATGGATGGATTTCCACCTGTTTGAAGACCTTGGCTTCCGTCGTTGCCAAACGAAAATGTGATATATACTAATAGGAATGATGAAGAACTTAGGACATTGTCAAAAGGAAGAGAATATTGTTACCTCCTTTTTCCGATACTCGTTGAGCAGCAATCGCATCCGAGGTTTCTGTGTAAGCACCGGCACCCCCAACAGACATAGTGACTAAATAAATCATGGTCAGATTAAAATAAATAATTACGCAAATCGTAACCCCAAGCCAAATGTTAACGTGTAACGAAAAATTTAAGAGGCTCAACGAGGACACTTATAAAGTGTAATTTCTATTGATCATTAGAGCTAGGGATGTAGCGATAACGATAACCATAGTTACAAAAACCGCCTTTCACCGGTTCATCAAGATAACATGCGTTTTTTTCATAAACTAAGAATATTTCATAACGGTTGACGGGAGTAAATCAGGATCAAGGGTAGGAATGCAAACGTTCGAAAACGGTTAAATCGGTAAGAATACGGAAAACCTATGATGAAGATAGGTGCATTAGCATCACTCACGTCTATTAATAGAAAGGCATCTGGGTAATACAAAAAAACGGTCTTCACCGTAGGTTCCTGACTCGTTTACCAGCCTTAATGATGAGTTTGAAAGTGCATCCCTACTCTGGAGAATTCAAGCTTGATTATTTGAACGAACAAAGAGTCTTCTTGAAACAATGACAATATTTTATGCATAAAAACCTTTTCGAGATGCAAATAATGAGTATGAAATTTTGCGAAACTAATTGCAGATTTGGATTCCCCAACCCCAATTTACATTCTTCAGCTTTAAGGAAATATTCTGATTTTCTTAAAATACGCTTGTCTTTATGAAGAACTGATGAAAACCGCTTATCGTACCCACAGTTATCGTAGTGGGTCGGTGAAATGGTGACAATATAGCAGGGAATGATCATCACTGTTGCATCCCTAAGTAGAGCTGCAACAGTTCGAGTTTAGTTGAAAGAATGGTAAATATTGAATTAGCAAAAGCCCACTCATCATCTAGTTATTGTGTTTTACGACAAATCATATACGTAGTTCCCAAAACCTGAATTCGGATATTCAATATTCTACAAATAATGATACTCAAGTGTCGGACGCCAATCGAGTTCATCTTTGCTTCATAAATAGGCTTTTATGAGACTAGAGGAAATCTAACAGAATTCATTGCAATGTCTTGAATGTCGAGAGTTACGATCTTTTGTTTTATTGCCATTTGTGGGACTTAATCAGATATTTATAGAAAATTGATTTACAGTACTTTGGTTTGAAAGTTTGTTCATGAAGAACTTTTCGGACTACTAAATTACCCTAAAAGTTTCAGTTTAAACAAACGGAATTTTTTTTGACATATTCAACGATTAAGCAACTATTATCTGATACAAAACAAAAAGTACAGAAACGCTTTGCCTTTATCACTGAGTAACTCGACAAGAATCTGCTTGTTTAAACTGAAACTTTTAGGATAATTTAATAGTCCTCAGAATTCTTTATAAGCAAAATTTAAGATCAAAATATTGTAATTCAATTTTCTATAAAGTTCTGATCAAATCCCACAAATAGCAGCAAAATGATCATAACTATTGACGTTCAAGACATGACGATGAATTCTTTTAGATTTCCTACAGTCTCATAGAACCCTATTTATGAGTCTATTGTGAGTTTAATTGGCGACCAATAATTCGATATAATCTTTGGAAAGCAAAGCTATTTAGATAGTCATGGGTCAAAAAACAGCGTAGAATATCTATATTTCTGGATTTAAATTTTGTGCCTAACATTATTGAGTTTATAATCACAGATACATTAAACACAAGAACTTACTTATATCGGCTTTCTCATTGAAGGCTCGATATATTGCCGCAGTCATGACGTCTACAACAGTGCGTTGATAAAGAATACCATAGAAACACAGACAATATTAGCAACATATATTGATTCATACATACCGGTGGTAGCAGTATCTCCAGCGCATCCGAAGATACGGTCTATGAAACGAATAATGAAATGTATAGATGAGCTGCTACAAACAGAAGTTAAATGAACTTACATGCTCCAAGAGTAGCTTGAGGAGCGACACCGAGAAAAGATTGGAAAGGAATAAAGCCTGTTTGAGTCATTTCTGTTGCATTGGCAGCAACAATTCCAGCAACATGCGTGCCTGATATTTGTATACAGACAAGAATAAGATTATTTGAGAAAATAAGCTGAATATTGATAAATACCATGGGCGCCCGCAGAACAATTATCGAGTGGATCATCGTCCGGTTCTGGAATGAGGTGCGATTGATTGAAGTTATCACCAACCAGATCTAGAAACAATTGAATGGTAGTCTTTCTCTTTATCATACAAAGATCCGAAATAACAACTGACCATAACCAAATGCAACTTTACATTGTTCTCCAAAGCATCCTCCCAGAGCAGGATGCATATAGTCGATACCAGTGTCAATAACAGCTACCTACATGAGGCAAAGAATGACATAAACTAAAATTTATGAATGAGTAAAAAGATCTAGATTGATAGTTGGTTTTTTGTGTTCGACAACTATAAATTTCTCGATTACGTAGCAATTTTATTCGTGCTTTTGATTTCCTCAATATGTGCTGGCAAACTCGTTTCAATCTCATTGAAGGAAAAACTGTAACGAACTTTACTATTTTATAGCACTGTTCTATAACATTAAAGAAAAGTAGGACTATTTATTTTTCAATAATCTATGATCGACTACTTGAAGAATTGGAGAACAAATGTGGAACTCCGAAAAGTTGAGCTTTTCTTTCGTTCATATCACTGTTCGCTTTTTAATGGAAAGAAAAATGAGTCTTGTTCGTATATATGGCCTCCTTACTCGAACACCTTGGCCAAAATTTTTCAACTGATCGTGAATCTGAGCGACACCTGTCAAATCATGTGAAATAACTAGATGAGTTTGATTGTCGTCGATTCTTTCAGACGGGACGTACGCCTTCAACGGTTTCGGGCCCGGAACAGAGTAAACCGGGTAAATGGCAATAACGTCTGGAATTGATTCGATCATTTTCATAGAATGTTCGCTATTCACGGAGAATGAAGCTCCCATGAACAGCGATGAGGAAATCATTTGACGCATGGTGATGGCCGATCGAGGAATTCCATGAGATTTTTCCAAGGACTCAGCAATAGTTTGCTGAAAGTTTTTGATGCCTTTATTTTGGTCGAATTCAATTAAATAGGCATTTGGGATCAACACGTAATTGCCAACGTTTTCAGATCCCAAGTTTTGCGTAACTATGTTCTCTTCATTGCCAACCGCTGAGTCTTTGAATAAATTAGAATAAGAAATCCTTTCGCTGAGCTGTATGAGGTATATGCAAAAAGTAACATACGAGCAGCAGCAACTGTATTGATGAAATGATTAGAGAGTGTTGGTGGTGCCATGATGAACACCAGAATTAATGCTCTTGATATAGCCAAGATCATCTTTGGTTTTTGCACTTCGAGTACGAATTGCCAATGTTGATGATAAAGAGTTTAGGACGTCAATTATCTTTCATGAAATTAAATTAGTGGGTTGCAGCTAGTACAGATATGGTTTTGAGGTATGAATCTGGGTCTGGATCTGCATATGTAGATGAATAGGGGATATTGGGGTGACTATCCGTAACAGAAGTTCTCCAGCTGCTTTTTCCACCCTTACACTCATTGCTGAAGATTCTTTTAAGAGTACCTTGAAGTATCAAGCTGAACATATGAAGAGCAGAGATAGAAAAGTATAATGGAATCTCAATTAGAATTCCATTAAATTCGACGCATTGTCTTAAAATCCAAATCTAAATTGGTCCTATTCCGTTCTACTCTCGTACAACAAAAATAGTCTACTTAAATCGTGTAGTGACCTATGTTATCTTCTCGGAAAGTGTCCGGAAAAGATCTAGCATTAATGCATTATGAAATGACTGCAATATTAGTTTCATTGTTGAGACAACCAGAGCGAATATTTGTTCTATACAAGTGTCAGTGTCGTTAGACTAATGACATAGAGTAGCACTGCAATTAGGGTGTGGGTGTGGGCCAAACTGAAGTTTTCTCAGGTTTTGTCTTGTGAAATCCTTGTTTAGTTTTAGCCTTATATTCGAACATCATCAAGCTTGTAGAGCATCAAATATGTATTTCGTCTCTACTTTGACAAGTGAAATGCAGACTAAAGCGACAACGAGAGTGTTTATGAATTTCTTGAAACTTTCATGCTTTACCATAGAACATGAGGGCAATATTTTCTCAATACACGTGCAATGTCAAACTTAGTATGAGAATATTCGATTCATTGTGAGCCTAGCGAACTTCTCGCATTATAAAGTCTAATGATATCTCAGAAGCTTCTCAAAAATCATAAAAATTTGGCACTATGCAGAAAATATCTTCCAAATTGCGAGACACTACTCTGCAAGTTTTGCAGATTGTGAATGCATAAGGTTTACTCAAGATTATTCAGAAGTAATATGAGATTTGAAAGCCGCAAGATCAAATCAAATGGACTTTATATTAGAGAAAAAAATAGAAAAATTCTATTTTTCGTTTGATGGACTGACGAGCCTTGGACAGCTAATAAGAAAGTCACTAGCGTACCAGATTGGTTCAGTCATATTTCATTGGATTTTACTTGACAGAATCTGTACTTAATTCGTTGCGGTTGGCATCGCTCTAGTTAAGTAAACTCGAATAGAATCCAATTATTCGACAATATGATTATGTTTTGATGTTTGACTCAGCATTCTGCTTCACCTTAAACTTCTTCCTTTTTGGGAACAACAAGCGTATCAAAATATTGCTCTGGATATCTTACATTATCTCAAATTCTTTAGCTTTTAGAACGGCATAACGATCGGTGTATTGAGGTGTGGGCGAGTATGTGTGTACTTGGTGATCTCAAGTGAAAAAAATCGGACTTCTGTACATCAGAAGATCAGAAGTACGAAGAAGTACGCAAAAGTACAGAAGTCTGCATTTCCCTCTTGGGTCATCCTCTCTTAGTTTAAACATATACATTCTGTGTTAAAAAGAAATTAGCCTTTATGAATAGAAAAGTGGCTGATGCTTCAGAGCATATCAGTTCTATGTCCTTTGTATAAGTGTTTGACGAGATTGTGGCTGAATTCTAGTCTTGCCTGCTAGAGCGGACACCGAGAGCTAAAGCAATCGTTTTCTATAGTGAGAAAATGCTTAGAACACAACTGCATTTGAAATAAAAGGAAGAAACTCAACTGAGAATTGATTAGTAAGGAAATATGACCGAAAGTACTTCTAGGACCAGGTCCAACCGAATAGAGTGAGCCGCAAAAAGAGAATATCGACCTTTTATTAAAGGTGTGGATGAATGAGTGTAGACATCAAGAGAGTCAAGTCGGTGACGTACACTAATACTCACACACACATCGACACTCACAATTACATGTATCCTTCTCTTTGATACGAAAAATCCATGTGACATGTGACTTATAATAATATCTTATTTGAAGATGAACATTGTTCTAAAAACCATCAACGATACGCACATAATTATTTCTTGTCTAAATTTCATAATTACTACTTATAAAACATGTACTATATAATTGTTTATGACAGGTACATCTCTTCATGGCTTTTTGAAGATTCGTTTAGAATCAACAGGAGTATTCTATTAGGTTGGCAAGAAATTTTTTGCGTTTTTATTAAAACTCTCTAAAAACAGTCGCAAAAGTTCTCGGAGTTTCCATACTTAGGGTATATGAAGAGGGCACGAATATCTTGCAAACAATAACAAACCTATGACTAAAGAAGCTAGTTTTGGATTAGAAATGGAGATGCCTCGTATAGTGCTTGGGGTGCTTTTACTTCATGAATTCTGTTTGGACCACAGAGCGACGAAAGCAGTAAGCAACATATGCAGCACGATAGGCAATGATATATTCTCCGTTTGTACAGCACAATATTGGCTCAATAGATTTAAGAAGGCGAACTTCGAACTTGACAATTTCACTCGTCCCGAGATGGACTTGGACGTATTAAAGTAGCTCATTAAAGAAGAATCGAGATCAACTACATGTCGTATAGCAGAGCAGCTTGGATGCTCTCTTACTGTAGTAACAAAACAGCTGAACGAATTAGGCAAGACGTGAAAATATGAAGTTCGGATAATCCACCAGTTGTCACCACTTCAGCTCCGACATAGGGTAGACGCATGTATGGAACTAGTGATTTCTCAACGTAACTGTGAATGGCTCCGCAATCTGATTACCGGGGATGAAAAGTGGATGATGTATGTCAACCACACGCACAAGCGACAATGGCTGGGAGTTGGACAAAACGGTATAGCAACGTCAAAGTCACGTTGAACGCTTGGTAGGGCATAAAAGGCGTAATTCATTAGGAGTTTCTTTCAACTGGTAGCACTAGTACTGCTGATATCTAATGTAAGCAATTGGATCGAGTTGCAGAAAAATTCAGGAAAAGCAGGAAAACACATTGAAAAGTCAATGTGTGAAAAAGTATTGGAGCTCGAATAGACTATCCTTCTATATCTACCGTATTCTTCAGACTTGGCTCCCACTAACAACCGTTTCTTCCGTTCTCTTGTCAATCATTTGCGCGAAAAAAAAGTTCGATGGCAAACACGACCGCAAAATGGACCTTGGTAACTTCTTCAGTCAAAAGTTCTACGAGTTCTACGAACACGGAATCATTTCTCTTCCACAGCGTTGGCGACAAGTCAGAGATAGTAATGGAGCAGACATTCTTGAAACTCACTTGCACTTTGGTAGTCAAAAACCAAAATGACATTTTGTAAAAAAACGCAAAAACTTTCTTGGCGAACCTAATACAAACATTCTCCAAAACCTGTTACGGATGTTATACAATTCTATAAAGTTTCCATTTCAATTGCTAGAAGGAACGCGTTAGGAGTCTGCTATAGTTAGCTGGACAAAATTCAGTTCGTATATACATACAATAGTGAGACTTACGAGAATAGTCGCAGGACTTTCTAAACAAAACACAAGAAATGTGAACACACAAGATTATCGATCGATAGACTTTCAGTTTGTAATCTAAACAGCTTCCTCAGTAAAACTCTGTCTTTTTATATTAGTGAAACAAAAAATGATTTATGTGTTTTATTTTTTCTCGTATCTCTGCCTATTAACTACCGCTCGTAAAACTTGAACTTTAAGTATTCAAAATTTATTATGTTGTCTCACAGATTAATTGCCTATGATGACGAAGAATGTATCGTGGACACCAATACAAAAAAAACTATCAAGACAACTTATACGACAAAGTTTCCACATTAAAAGTAATGATAATAAAGTCTTAAGGCGTTTAGCAACAATACATAATTTATCTCCAAAATTTTTATTGCGTAATTCCACATGAATTCAACCATTGATACCGAAGTGGTGACTGATTTCGATGGAA